CGCTCCCTGCTGAGCAGGTCGTGGTCCTGAGGCAGGTCACAGCCCAGAGCTCGCCCGGGGCCAGCGCTGAACACCACCAGGGCGGTGAGTAGAGGGAGCAGGAGGGCCATGGGCGACCGAGGGTGCTGCTGGCCTGGCTGAGCTGGGCGTCTGGGGAACAACCTGGGGCCAGAAGTTGTGCAATGACCTTCTTTCTAAGCATGGCCCTTAAATAGAGAACACAACGATTTTCATTTTCTAAGCATTTCTTTCCACTTCCTTTTTTTGTTTTCAATTAATTTAGGTGTCCTAAGAAGACGTCATCAATCTACATGACTGATTTTCACCATACACTTCAGAGGTGCCATCCAAGTGGATACTTAATAGTCAAATGAGAAATGCCTTTTTCACAAAGTCAAAGTGTAGGTAGATGTGTAAATACTCACACAGGTACATACTCACATGTTTAAATATATTACATAAATATTACTCACTTTGTATTAGAAGTAAAAGTTTTCCTTGACTCTGGGCAACATGGGCGTCACGCTCCCTCATCTCTGTGGGTTTGTGTGTTTTGTCAGGTACTTCTCAGACCATGGTTGGTAAATAAACTTTTTAGAACCAAGGACTGAGTTTTGTTTACTGATTTATGCACAACAGGTATGAGGTTTTTAGTGAACGAGTTTCTGGAATGTTTTCTCCTCTAGAACCCATTCCTGCAGCGCCATGTGGTTATGCTTCATGGGAACCACTAGGTCAGCACGCCTATAGACATTGCCTTTTCTCTCCAGCTTTGGAACTGGCCATTAATTCTCCTCAGGCTGTGCCAACACCCCCAGCGGGAATCCTGGTTCTTTGCTGGTGGGTGTAGGTGTGGAGATTCTAATAACAAGATAGTAACATGTTCCCAGCACCACGGGCGATATCAGCTCTAATAACTCTTTTCCTCTGGAGTGACAGTGTCCTCAGCCCAAACGCTCCTGGACTCCCCTGCTGAAGCAGGCTCACCCCATCCTGTGGTCCTTAGAATTCTCCCCAGGTGGAGGGGCTAATGTCTTTGCTGACAAAAGAACCTGTCGGGACCCTCACCCTTTCCCCAGAGTGTTTGTATGAAGGACCCTTGTCCTCAGTGGTGACCTCCTCCCCTCCTGAGCCAGGACCCAGGTGTCAGTGGGGCCCACAGCCCTGAACTGACAGCAAACGTTAGTTTTGTCTAAGTTGGTGGAGGCATTACTTATACAATTGCAATCATTTATCTTCAGTGGGCTTTTCTATCTACTGATCTATTTTTGGGCACTTGGGCTGGTTCCAGACCTGAG